CTAAAGTTAAAGACACACTGAGAAACAGTTGCACACGGTGAATAAAAAGGTCGGACATGTTGTTACACGTTTCAGTTTTATTGCATGTTTATAGTTCTACGTTTTTTAAAGTTTGCATGAAATCAAAATGTCCCGACTGACTCACTACTTTTACTTTTTTACTCTGTAATCACAACAGACATGAAGCGTGAATAAATCATTGAGACGAGGTTTGGTCCTCTTCGTTCTTCACCGTCGTCTCTAAAGATGCTCGACAGAGACGGCTGCCATCTTGTTTTTTCACTCATTTCTGTATTCTGCTGTTAGGATCATTAGGTACCAGAAAACAGTTTCTATAAATGAGGATCAGGCTCTGAGTTCATTATTAGATGATACAGCTCCACGACGAGGACGCTGGGGTTCAAAGGTCAACTGATGCACATGTTGTCTCTTTGTTTCTGATGATCTGATGATGCTCCTCTGTCAACATTTATGTTTGCTCACTTTTTACACGTCCACTCTGCGAAGATCTTCTCCTGAAAGGCAGCGCTGTGGCCTGCTGCTTTGAATTGTTAACTTCATACGACGTACAGTTCAAGAGAATAAATAATCAAGTGTTCAGGATACGATCTGGTGAGGTTTGTCTACTTGTGTCTAAGGGTTAACTGCAGCTCTGCAGACGAGGCTGCTGCTTTGAGGATGCTGCATGAATTGTCCACACATGAAGGAAAAGTGTGTAAGATAAAGAAAACAGCATGATCTTCAATCAAATGTCTCATGCGAGGATACAGACGTGTGGCTCTCTTAAATGTTTCTGAGGATTTCTATTAAAATGACGCACTAAAGAAATGTAGAGACAAATCATTTATCTAAACTCATCGATGTGATAGAATCAGCTTTGTTTATTCACGACTACAAGCTGCCGCTCCACAAACAGAATCTGCAGCACATCGATCAGACAGGCCGCTGACCTACCTGCTGCTGAAGGCTGGAGTCAAAATGGCGGCGTGTCAACGGGAGGGAAGCCCGGCCTCCACGCTCCTCCAACCCCTCTGCGGAATGAAACCTCTGAGGATGAGATAATCCTGTTTGCATGGTCGGTCTGAGAGGAAACAGAGGCAGGGCGGGGCTGAAAGGGGGGGGGGTTTAATACCCCGAAAAACAGCAGAGTGGCTTTTACACCGAGGCTCGACCCGTGTGGATGTTTGGAGACGGAGAGAGTCAGAGAAATCTGTCAAGTGACGTCCGGGATTCAGCTTCGGATTCGGCCATTTTTCTGGCAAGTTGACGCCTCTGCAGAAGAATCTTTCACTCCATCACAGGACACAAAAAAACCTCCTGCTTAAACCAAAAACTAAAATCATAAAATCAATCGCACGTTTCTGTTTGCAGCTTTTTAAAAGCAGAAACATCCGAGACAAACAGAGAGCTGCAGAAGAGCCTCAAAGAAGGAACCCATTCATGGAGGAAACCTCGACGTATGAGAGGTGGAGAAACAGACACGTTTAATCCATGTATGACTAACACAGCTCAGCCTCTCTCTCTCACACACACACACACACACACACACACACACACACACACACACACACACACACACACAGAGTGTTTAGCAGCAGTGTGGGAGGCCCGTACATCTCAATGCCGCTCTTGTTACTGAGCCGTGATAAAACAGCAGCGGACATTTGTGGCACAACTGCTCAGTCGGCCTCTCAGCTCACTTGTTGACAGGCTGCAGGACGGAGGGACGCATGTGGAGTCTGAGTCTACACCACCCACCACTGTCGACCTGAGTGTGTGTGTGTGTGTGTGTGTGTGTGTGTGTGTGTGTGTGTGTGTGTGTGTGCGCATGCAGGTGTGTGTGTGTGTGATCAAAGACAAAGGATGCATCAGTTATCGTGTGCAGGATTTGATTCCCTCGACCCATCATGGAATCAGTGGATATCTGAGGATGTTAAATCTCTTCCTTCACTTCAAAGCTGTTGAGAATAGTTTGAACAGTCTTCTTTAATGTCTGAACTTTGTGATGTGTTTTTAAATGTCGTGTTTGAGCCGTGTCAAAGGAGAAGAAAGTGTATCTATCTAAAGGCGCACACAAGAAGCTAAATCACATTTAGTGAAATTTATCTCCAGTTTTGGTCTGATGAAGGGCGAGGGCCTGAAACGTCACGTGGAGATAAATTCCATTAAATGTGAACTGGAGCAGCTTCTGCTGTGATGACTCAGTCTTCATTTTCTGTATATATGTTCTTATCCAGCACCCAGGACGCAACGATTCAGATGTGGGTGCTGTTCGATATTTTTCTGTAAAATATAAATTAGAATCCCATCATTTTCAAAAGAGATTTCCATAATGACAGCGGCTACATTTAAATTAAGCAACAGTTAAAACAGGAAGGAAGGGTGAGAGGTCAAAGGTGAATGTTTGGCTTTGCTTTTGGTTCGTATGAACGAGGTTACAGCAGACGTCAGCACGCCTCCTTTAGCAGCTCGGCCCCCTGACGAGGGTCTCTGTATGTAACAAAACATCATGTAATTTTTTTTTTAAATCTGCAGACCCCCCTCCTCCCCCCCCTCCTCCCCCCAACAGTGTGAGACAAACATGAAGTCAGTAAATAGAAAATGCATTTTTGCAGAATTGGATGCAGCGACTTTACACGAGCAGGAGCTTTGTGAAGAAATGATTAAAGACACTGATCAACAGATTCCTTCAAAACGGACCGAAACCCTCTGAGTGTGCAGGGAAATGTGACGCTTGTGTTGTGGTGATATTCAGAGAATATAGTGGTTCCTTAATAAACACCGCTGAGGTCGTGGTTAACACCTCACGCTTTGCACGACTCCCTGAATCCCTGCCTCACACACTCAGAGCGCCTCCGTGTGTGTGCTCGCTCTCTTCATGTACACGCTTACCGTGACTCTGCTGCCTCTCTGTTTATTACCTTCATTTGCATCTAAATTAAAGCTGCTGTGTCGCTGCAGGCTGGACCGTGCAGGCTGGACACACACACACACACACACACACACACATCTACATATAGAGAGTCCTGTGTAATTGGTAGGGAAATGTTAATGTGTCTAATTGTTTAGAAATTTGCATGGCTCTGTGTGATTTCACACACTCTGCTCTTATGATGCAATTATGCACCGAAGCTGGAGTGAATACATTATGTGTGTGTGTGTGTGTGTGTGTGTGTGTGTGTGTGTGTGTGTGTGTGTGTGTGTGTGTGTGTGTCTGTGTGTGTGTGTGTGTGTGTGAGGGGGATCATTACAGAGGCCTCTTCTCACCCTGCACAACCAGAGAAGAAGAAAACAGGTAGAGGCAGAGATCCCGTCAGCCTGTCACAACATTTACCTCTGATTCTGACAAATTGATCTCAGCTTTTACACGCAGCCTCTGCTGCTCGCTTCTGTTCCTCCTTCTTAAGGAGAGGAGAAGAGAGGAGAGGAGAGGAGAGGAGAGGAGAGGAGAGAGAGAGAAGAGAAGAGAGGAGAGAGAGGAGAGGAGAGGAGAGGAGAGGAGAGGAGAGAGAGGAGGAGAGGAGAAGAGAGGAGAGGAGAGGAGGGTAATTCTTCTTTGGACAGGCTCCAGAGCTATTATAAAGCAGACAAACTCTTCCTATCAGGAGAGGATGAAGTTGCAGATGACAGATGACCTCCAGGCTGCAGGAAATAAGCAGGAAGAGACTCACTCGATAAGTAATTTAACCCCAAATAATTACACACCTCCCCCGTCTGTCTGCCTGTCTATCTATCTATCTATCTATCTTTCTCTCTCTCTTTCTCTCTCTCTCTCTTTCTCTCTCTCTCTCTCTCTTTTTTACTCTCTGCATGTCTTCAGGTTGAAATCACTTCCCTTCATCTGCTCAGAAACAAAGAAGCTCGGCCTGTGGTTTAGTTGAGGACGAGAGCAAAACATTAATTTAATAATAAAAAAAATCAGGAGGAAAAAAGCTGAAGGAAATTGTAGTTTTTGCAGCAGTGTTGCGTCCTTTTCCGGTTTTAGAAGCACAAGAAACAAACAGTCAGATATTTGTACTAAAGTTAGAAAGTAAAGGCTGTGATTAGAAATTAAAGTGTTTGAAACAGTTTACGCTCCAGGTTTGTATTTTTATTAGATTTATTATTTTTAAATAAAGATATTCTCTTTTTGTACATTTATCTCAAATGAACAAAATAAAAGCTGAAAGAGTTCAAATTATTTTTTTGACTCTAGTTTTATAAAGGAAACAAAAGAAGTGACGATTCACTGGAATGCATATAAAACATAAATGATTCACATTATAAATGGATTTTCGGGTGAATTAATATAAAAACGTTTTCCGGTGATTTCACGTAAATGAAGTATTAGTAAATCTTTTTTTCTGCGTTATTCTACGTTATTATTAATGACGTCAAAGACATGAGGCCCACGTGGAGTTAAAGGTTGAAAACGGACAAAATGAAGACAGAAATAAGGGATGTTGTTCTGTGTAAATGTTTGTTTTTTGTGTTTACTTTTAAATGTGTGATGATAAATTCTTTTTGGATTAAATCGTTTTTCGGCCCTGCGAGGCCTTTGTCCCGCTGTTTGTCTGAAATACACACACCTGCAGCACCGTGTGTGTGTGTGTGTGTGTGTGTGTGTGTGTGTGTGTGTGTGTGACGGAGAGGTAATTTCATGCTCTGTAACGTTTTGAACAGCGCTGATAGCGGCGCGCGCGCAGCGTAAACTCTCCTCCTTTCTCTCCCAAAGAACACTTTATGAATATGGATCCAAATGTCCCACTCACGTGAGCCAATGAGCTGCGACATCCCCCTCACAGAGACACACACACACACATTCACAGAAACACACGCACACACACACACACACCTTTACTCACACACCTTTCATGATTTTAATTTACAGCAGAAAAAAACGGCTCAGTTTGTTTCTCGTTTTCTTTTTCTGATATAAAAGTGTTTATTTGGAAACATGGTTTAAATGTACATAATATAACCCCCTCACACCCCACCCCCCTACCCTCCCTCACCTCCCATCATCCCTCGCGCTCCTCCAGACAGTCGGATGTGCGCGTAGCTTTACCTGCCGCAGACACTGACTGTGTGACGTGATGTTTGAACATTTTATGTATTTGTGTGACTCCTGACAGAGCTGAAATACTCCTGCAGTGTGTGCGTGTGTGTGTCACATATTGTGTATTTTATAAACGTAATAAAGGAGTGCGAGAGCAGAATGAAGAGCGAGTCAAATCAAGAAACTTAACGAGGTAAATAAATGATTTCAATCTCTAACAACGTCATTTTATAAAATATAGAATAAGTCTGAGAAGGTGACACAATCACTCGAGTTATCGTTTCATCAATCGGTGGAAAATAATCGATAACTGTTCGGTTAAAGGAATCAAACATTGTAATTTTTAAACGCAAAGTTTAACGGGAAATATGAATTTAGTCTCTGATGAGAAAATTTACTGACTTTGTCTTAAAATTAATTTTGGAAAAACTGAAAATCTTAAAACTTAAAAAAAAAAAAATGTTTGTGTGCAGAAATAAGAAGACAATAAACCCGGAACATGTATGCACTGTAAGATAAATAAAGATTGATTTTATTTCATTTTCATGACACGAGTCAGGGGTCTGAGGGTCACGTTTAAAAATGTTTTCTAACATTTCTCACCGAATTATCGACAGATAATCTGACATTAATCATGACGTGTATCTCGAGGTTGAAGTGATTAAATCACATGAAATATTAAATTAAAAACGCTTTACTTTTACTAAATGATTCTTATTTATGATGTGGGCTTGAAGATGAACAGTTATTTTAGAATCGAATCAAAGTTTCCTTCAGATTAAAATGAATTACTTCAATATGTTAAAATATACGTGTCAGTTTTATCTTAATTTATGTGAAATCCTTCCATAGTGAGTGACAGATTATTTTTCATAAATTTGATATTCATTGACCTTAAAAATGCCGATATGTAACTTTCATTTATTCTGCAGGTTTAGGCCTTTATCCTGGTTTTTATTTCATTATCGTGTGAAATAAACTCTCCTCTCATTGGTCAGTTTCTCTTGACGTGTCAGTATTCATGTTTATGGTATGATGAGTCTCTTTCATATTCCTGTGAGGACTCTCGTGCTTCTTTAACATCCTGCACGTGCTTTTGTTCAGTTTTTTTTTTTGCACGGTTTTGATTTGTGTGAATGCGCGCGTGCTGCAGGAGTATTTCAGTTCTTAGGAGGCATGTTGGTCCAAAAAGAAAGACAGAACGGTTACAATGAAAATCTAGAGGCTGTTCTCGTCGTGTTTCTGAAGCACAGAGAAGAAGTGAAGGAGGAGAGAAAGTGCCAGAGACATCAGAAACATCCGCTGCTGGACGGATCCTCACTGCGAGAGGAAGAGGAGGTGGAGGAAGATGAGGTGGAGGGTTTGACTCTCAGCTCACAGAAACAGAAATTAACACGATGAGGGATGTTTCTGTTTTTACAGTTTGTGAACGTGTCAGGCTCTGTTTCCCGGGAAATTCTTTGGTTTTTGGCGGCAGATTCAGTCTCAGTGAGTCCGTGTGTCTGTCTGTCTGTCTGTCTGCTGCGGAGAGGAGGAGGGGGTCCACTCTGCTCCCCCTCCCCGTCATTAAATTAGATATCATATATTTACAATAGTACACAGTGTGTGGAGGAGTCCTGTATCCGTGCCGTGCCGTGCCGCTCCTCAGTCGCTGTCCTCCTTGTCCTCCTGGATGGTGGTGGTGGAATGGTTGTACAGTCCCTGCGCCATCAGCTGCAGCGCCAGACCGTTCTTGAAGCCGCTCGCCTTCTTGATCTTGGCGCGCTTGTTCTGGAACCAGATCTTGATCTGGGACTCGTTCAGGTTCAGTTCCTGGGCCAGAGACTGCCTCCGCTGCTCCGTGATGTACCGGTTCACCTGGAACTCCGTCTTCAGCCGCTGCAGCTGCTCCGCCGTGAACGCGGTGCGCGGCCGCTTGTCCTCTTTGCCGCTTTTCGACTTTTTCAGTTTCCGGGTCCTTGGGCCTGCAGTAAGGACGAAGACACGAGAGCGGAAATATGAATATTCAGCGCATACTGACACATCACCGATTAACCGATTAGGTTGTTAGTTGTTGAAGAAATCCAGCTTTTTGTGCGCAGGCCTGGCTCTGATCTCTAAAACACCCAGCTGTGCTTATTGTATGATATTTATTCATTGGCTTCCTATTTACATATCTTATCTTATTCATACTGATATTAATATAACCCTGATGATATGCTGAAGGCCCTGAGGAGCAGCTGTGAAACCTCGAGTTTCCTCAGGGGGGTCAATGATGTCCTCCTGATGTGACTGTGGTGTTTCTGAAAATAGTTGTTTTCTTTTAATCGTCATCACTTTAATTTAAATAAATAATGTGAACATTATTATTTATTATTTATTATTTATTCCTGTGTGATGTGTTTCTGTACAGCCCTGTCAGCTGTGAGGCCTCGCAGCAGGCTGCACGCGAATCTGCACTTTAAATGAAGCTGATTGATGGATCAGATCGATGAGCATGGAGAGCTACTTTTTCTACACCAATCAGAGCAACGTCAGCCTGCACGCCAACACACACGCGCGCACACACACACACACACACGTGCAAAGTCACGTAAGCACACACACACACACACACACACACACACACACACACACACACACACACACACGCACACAAACACGCACACAAACACGCACACAAAGACAATAAGAGTGAAGCTATAATGAATAAAAACAATAATAACAGTTTTTCTGTGTCAGTCTGCAGCAGGTGATTCTGTTCGTTCAAAACAACAACAATAACAACAACAACAACAATAATGATAATGATGATGAAGTCAGAAGTGCTTCATAAAAAGAGAAGAAATACAGAATTCAGATTTGATCAGGTTAACAAAATTAAAGCAGAGCAAACAGGAGCACGAGTAAGGAGGAAACAAAGACTATAACAATAACAAAATAAAAGCCGCCTGATGAAAGTGTTTAAAGTGCTCAGATAATAATCATAATTATAAATAATAATAATAAGAAGAGTGGGGATCACAGGGGAATATATATTATGAAAAGGTAAAATTATCAGTTTCATGATTTGAGCTTCATAAACACACACACACACACACACACACACACACACACACACTGCGTTAAACACGATAATACAAATATCATTTTAATCTAATTTCTGGAAGATTTAGTCACGTTTTTTCAAAATAATGAACCTAACATGTACTAACAAATAGGTCTATATATTTAACTTGATTAAAATAAAGAAACGAAATGTTTGAAATGTGAAACCTTGTCGCAGAAGAAAGTCGATTTATTTCACAGTCAAATGTTTTTTATTCCGGATGTCTCCTGTTCCACATTTCTTTTAAAATGACACAATAGTAAACTAATTAAATAATCATCCTGTGATGTTTTATTTTGGTGAGCGCTTCATGATGATGTTATGATATTTTGAGGAGTGAGCGCAGAAACACAAAAACCCTCCAAACTCATGAACTGCTTTTTAAATAGTCTACTCGTTTTTTAAACAGTATTTTTTTCTTAGGAATTTAATTATAGATAAATAATGTTGTTGTCGCTGCTGTGTATAAATACTGAGCGTCAGAGAGGAGTCAGGACGTTAAATTAATAAATGCTCCATCACACAGATTCCTCCTGAGGAGTCAGAGCATGCGCAGAAGCTCTCAAATGTTTACATGTTAAAAATGATCACGTCTTGATTTAAAATATAGAAATATAAATGAGATGCCCTGAAGCCTTTCTTACGTGCGTATGTTTTCTGCTAGTGTTTCAAAGATTTATTATTCAGATATAAAAAGGATCGAAGCTCTTTAACTTGCTGAGCGAATCATCAAAACTTGTCAAAATAAAATATAAATTAAACTTTTGATGTGTCTTACTAATCCTCTAGTGCATTAGATACTTTAATTAAAATAAGTTTGATTTTATTCTGAAGGGTTGTGGGGAAGTGCTTGACTCCGCTCTGTGTTGGTGTGAAGAGAGTGAGTCAAATCAGTCAGAACTTTAATCAATTCAAAATGTCTCCTGCAGCCTTTATTTAACTTCAATCTCTTTGTGTTTGATTTCTGCACGAGCTCATATCCGGTCCGGCACGTTACACTACACACACACACACACACACACACACTTTTACAAAAACACACTTACATGAATGGACATTATTTACTACCGAGAGTCACACACACATCCACACATTCATGATCCTGTAGCTTCGATGCAAATAGCTGATCAGTTATTCGATTAACCGGACAGCTGGATGAACCTGCAGCTTCATATTAACACAAAAAAATATATATATATTTAAATCTTCAATTATTATTTTTTTCATTTTAAATTAATAAATAAATAAATAAATAAAAACGTGTAGTTTTGAAGTCATTAGTATCATTATTTAATCAGTTTATAAACATCTGAACAAACCTAAAAACACTGACAGAGAGGAAGGCGTAAAAGCAAGTTTTTAAAAAATTACATTTAAATAAAATAATCTACAGGATTCAAACGAAGTTTAACTGTTATGCACGTGCACACCTTTTATGTAAATACTGTAAAACTCTACCTCATGTATATAAACAATCAGAGACATAATTACCATCAATCTCATCTCATCATGTTGTTGTCTTATTTAGCCTCTTTATATTATTCTCTGCTTATTATGTTTATATTTAATGTTGTACTTTTGTACATTGAAAGCACAGCTACCGAAGATTCCTTGTGTGTGTGTGTGTGCGCGCGCGTGTGTGTGTGTGTGTGTGTGTGTGTATACCTGGCAAATAAAGCTGATTCTGAATCTGTAAACATTTTATAATGACGAGTTTAAAACGTTTCAGACGTTGGATTGAAACGCGTTTGTTTGTTTATTTTTTACTTTGATTTAAAAGTGTGAGGTTTGAACGTGTTCCCTTTTAGATTCTGTATTTGTAGTCCTTTAAAAAAATCTAGTTTCACTTTTATATTTTCCGAACAAAATAATTCAGTTAAATTAAAATGTGTAGAGAAATAAAGTGTAGATGACAGCTGTCAGAAATGTAATTTAATATATTCCCCTTTAAAATAAACCATAATAACCCACGTGCCTGACGGATAAATTAAGTTAGACTTTAATTTTAATTATTATTTTTAATAAAAGTAAAATAAATAGAAAATAGATAATAAAATAAATACAATTGGGTGATCTGTGAATTTTTAAACACAGATGATTTCAGCTTTACTTTCTTTTCAGACCCTATATTAAAATATAAGATGAATAATTAAAGTGTTCAGTGATTCATAAAATAAAATATGACGTGATATAAAATGTGTTGAATATCTCCTCTCTAAAAACACTCAACTCAGCTGTCTCTTGAAACTCTTGCCTTACCAGATGAAGGCCTGTCCGAGTACCGGGTGCAGTAGACCCAGGCGGGCCACAGCAGCGGCTGGCTCTCCGGTGTGGGAGCCGCGGAGCCGTTCAGCACCACCAGCGAGGAGGAGGTGTTCTCCCCGGCCCCGCCGCCCGTCCTCTCCTCGGCTTTCACTCCACTGCTCCCGGTGGAGCCGGCGGTCGCGGCGGCTGCTCCGCCGCTGCTCTTTTTGGGACTCGTCCGAGAAGTGCTGGAGGAGGAGGAAGAGGAGGAGGAGCTGTCCGTGCTGCAGTTCGAGTCCTGACACGGAGTCCCGGGAAGGCTCGGCCTACTGACCGCCGGGTGAACGCGCTCCCGGCCGGAGGTGTGCGCCCTTTCCCGCGGGCCCAGGCCGAGCTCCTTCTTACAGCCAAAGTCCGGCCGCAGGATGTTGTCGATGAAGAAGTTTGTGGTTCTGTGGGCCTGCTGTGCGACCTGCAGCGGCAGGATGGGCGGGGAGGGCATGCTGGGGGCCGGGGACACGCTCTCTGCCTCGCTGCTGTCCGAACTGTTCGGGTCCCGCTGCTCCTCCATCGCGGCTGCTCTGAAGAACGTGGCTCGTGCGCTCTCAATCCAATTTGTGCGCCTGCGTTTGTATCCAAAATGTGGCACGAGGACTAAAACTAACACATGTTGGTTTTGTCTCCGGAATGCTGCAGCCTGCTGGAGTTATTCGGTGGACATCCTGCCTGCGTAAAGGCGCTCCAGCGCGTCATGGCCGCTGACTGACTCCACCACTATGATGGCTGCTCCTCTCACAGCTCGAGCTTTTCACCGCTGTATGACAGTCGGATCTTCACAAAGTCCTCACATCACATTACTACGCGCGCACACACACTCACACTCATACACACACTCCAACCGGAGGCGCATGAATAACATCCAAAGCGCAGCGGGCCAATCAGCGCCCGGGACACTTTTGGACATGGGGTGACGACGTCCAATAATGTCAGGCGTCTCTGAGCCAAAAGGGGAGCCGAGGAGCAGCGACACACACAAACCAAACAAGAGATTATCACTGCTCGGCGCGCTCTGCCTTGTTACGGTGTATCTGTTACATCTCATACAGCTGAGGCAGAGCCGAGAGCACCAAGACAAACACACACACACACACACACACACACACACACACACACACACACACACACACACACACACACACACACACACACACACACACACACACACACACACACACACACACACACACACACACACACACACACACACACACACACCATCCGCGTGGCCGTCTGCTGCTGCTTTCTGGGAGGAATTCAACTTCTGGCCTCCAGATCTCTGAACTGAAGCTGCTCAGGGAGACCCAAACAACAAAATTTGGATTCAAGAAATAGCAAAAAAATATTGTGAAATGGTTTCACATCAACTTAATCGTCCGTATCAAAGGAATCTAACAATAACTGCTTTGATGAAGCGAGAAGGGCGTTCACTGCGCGCGCACTGGGGCGCACAAACCGGCTCTCTGAGTCTGATGTTTAATCCTGACTCTCCCTGCACATCTTCACGCGCTCTCATCCACGCGCTCCGACGCACTCCCTCCTCTCTGAGGTGTTTCAGCCTCCATTGTCAGCTTCTTATTGTCTTCCTGCAGGCCGAGCTGTGTGTGTGTGTGTGTGTGTGTGTGTGTGTGTGTGTGTGTGTGTTCTGTTATCAGTGTGTGAGGGACAGAGAGGCTGCCGGAGGATAATTTATAGGTTTTAATTACTCCAAATTCCGCCTGATCAGCCGGACGTTCATCACCTGGCTGCGGGAGAAAAAAGCTGCTCAAAGGCTCTGTCACCGTCCGCGCGCCAAACACTCCATCACAGCGCGCGCAGAGAGGGCCGATAGGATAATAAATGCAACGTGAGAGACAGGCGCGTGCAGGCAGAGGAGCTGTTTTGTTGAAGGTGTTAATAGAAAAGAGAGAGAGATAGGGAGAGGGAGAGAGACTGTGTGTGATGGAACAACTTCATTCATATTAAAGCTTTTTGTTTGATTTGTTCTCTGACTGAATCTGGAGGCACGTGCGCCAAGATGAAGCACATACCTGGGATGTATTACAGACAAACCCCCACCATTTAAAATAATAAATACAACCCACTCCTATGACCTATTTACTGATTTACAACTGAATATAATGGCGCTAAAATGTCCACGCTTTAGTACCAGTTTTCTAAGATTCTCGAGTAAATCATTTTAAGAAAAGGCTTTTACTTTGGTAGTTTTTGTGATTTTTAGATAACTGACTTTAAATCAAGAACCATTCCTGCAGGATGTCACACTGTTTACAAAACGAACAGAGTGATTATTTAAAGCCCTTAGAGGTGCCTTTACATGTCCTTATAATAATCTGAGAATAAATTTTAGTGTTGCATTCTAATATTCTTTCTCAGATTTTTATTATTTTTTCAGAACAAAGAAATGGTTTAAAATAACTCTATATCATATTTATCATCATGCAGGTAACGTGACGCCTGCAGGACTCTTTTTTTATAAGCGATCCACAGCAGGTTGTCCTTGCGCTGCTTTCACCTTTCATATCGGTTTTTTTTTAATTCTAAGTAAAGCTCAGTCTCAGTCAGACACACACACACACACACACACACACACCTGAGGTAAAGGTTCAGTCTGAGATCTCGTCCTGAGTCAGGATACAAAAGGAGAATAATCCATAAATATCCATGAATATTAATTTAATTACACCAGTCAGATTGTTAAATTAGAGGCTTTTATTTTGACATCTTTTTAGACATTTTTAATGAGGGGGGAAATTCAAAACAGAACAATTAACCTTCATTGTTCCGCCTCACGTGCACACTGACGTAGAATAATTTTTATATTTGTATCATCATAAATCACAGTTTGTTTTTCATCCCGTTAATGGCTCCATGTCATATGATGATTTTATTTTAATTTGTGCTTTATTAAAAAACACTATAGCTTCCATGAAGCTCACGAAGGTTTGGACGGAACTATACACGGAGTCCATGTTTGTCCGGGGTCTTTATTTAAAGTCTCACGCGGTGTCAGAGGGGAGGAGGAGGAGGAGGACAAAAAGAAACATCAGAAAATGAACTTTTCACTCAATAAATAATAAACGTTGATTTGTGTTCTCGGGATTACTGAACTTGAAATGTTGATGATCATGATTTAATAAAGGTTGTAGTTTATTCTCTCCTCCCTAAGGCCCAACTAGAGACAAGAGGTGGACATCAGAAATACCTATAAACTCTTTATTCAGCTCATCAGTTTCATGCTCTGTTCTGAAACTTTGTTTAATTACATTTTCCATATTTTAAAATAAATTCAAACCGTCCCGTTTTTAAATCAGGGTTTTATTTCCCTTTATAATAAAATACATATTACAGATTAATACTCTTATAGAAAAAACACAGAGGTTGGTTAGGATCAGAGGTTACCCTAACCCCAACCCTAACCCATAATAATAATAATTCAGATACTCAGATGACGGCAGCTCCTCAGCTAAGGGGAAACTTCTTACTCATTTGAATTAAATCATATTTATTATTAAAGCCTCTGAATGAAATGAGCTGAAGCTGTGAGGGTTGAAAACACACAAGAAGAAGAAGAAGAAGAAGAAGAAGCTGCAGGAGCACATTATGGCGACCGTGGAGTGTGAAGAGGAGCCAACAGGAGGTACAGCACTTACATTTAAAAAAATCATCATCTTATTATTTTATCTGACACCAACACACAAAAGAGACAGTTTGACAAACTCGTGAAAAAGAGATGTGAGATGTTAGTCTGCTCTTTAACCTCAGACTGAAACAGAAACACACAAATGAAAATATAAATGTCAGGAAGCGTTTACCATTCTAATATGAATCAAAGCTGGATTAAATTAAACACATTTAAAACACAACGTGTTTTTAAAGCGTGGCAGCAGCAGCAAGTGCTGACTCTCTGATCCCTCTCCACTTTTATTCTCACTCAGGAGCTGCACACCGAAATGCTTACAAACCTTTGAACCAGTCAGAAACCAGAGGGATTGTTATATCACAGCGACATCTAGTGGTCAATAATGGTAACAACACGTGTAACATCAAACCTCAAAGTGTGTGGATTAGAAAAAAGGATTTGAATCTCCATTCATGCAGAGGAGCTACTACTTCATTAATAAAAACGTACTCTGCAAATAATCTGATTCTGATATTTTGATTTATTATATTAAATACTGACAAAGATGAGACACATTCAGCCCTCATTTCAGTTTATTCTCTACAGGATAAATTAGAAAATTAACTGCTTTGTGAAAAGTCTCCAGAAGGATTTTAAAGATTTTATTTTTCTTCATACGAGAATTATTTATCACAAACGTGACGTCACGCTCTGTATGGACGTTTTAACTCGGCTTTGACTGCATGAACAGTTGAAGCATGTGTGTAAGATTTAGTGCCATCTAGTGGTGAGAGAGCAGATTGCAACCTGCTGCGAACCACTCCCCTCACCCTCCCTTTTAAAAAATAAAGTATACTGTATAAATATTGTGCAAAGAGAAATATTAAATAGTTGAAGACAAAAACTATTTATTTATTTTTGGAAATCCGTAGTTTTTACAAGTCTTTGGATCTTTAGAGTACTTACTTGTTTGGTTTTCACAACACAGAAAATCACATCAAAATATAATTCATCAAGAAGCGTTGACTGCTCGAGTGAGTGTGGGGGACAGGGAGCGAATCATCTGCCTATTTTCTGATCTCGTCCTGTGTGTTGGGAAGGTTTTGGGGTATTTATTCAGGAGAGAATAACAAAATATAGTCTGGTGTGTGGTACGGACAGTGGCCAGAGTCTGAGGACGGGAGGTTTTTAGGATGTGGTGTGTTGGTATAGGGATCTGTTATTTAGACAGAGTATTTTAAAGTTGATGTAGGATCTAATTGGGAGCCTGTGAAGGTGGATGAGGGTTTGGGTGATGTGCTGCCAGGTCTTTATGTGGGTGAGGACTCTGGCAGAAGAGTTTTAGACGTATTGGAGCCTGTCCAGGGCTTTGCTGGTTACCATATACAGTCAACCTAAAAGAAGCTGCATATACTTTGGTGCCTAAGTCAAACTTATGCACTAGGGTTTGAGGATTTGCAGACAGGTTTGGGAAATTTTAGCTTCCGTATGACCTGTGTTTGTTGTCTGATCACCTGTTTCTGTCTCGATTTTAAAAACCTTAAATAAAAAGAGAATTTGAAAACAAAACCTCCAGTTAGTTCAGACTTGAAAAGTCACGTCTTGAAAACTAAGATCCAAGCGCTGTTGAAAAATGAAGCCGATGTTGAAGTGCAAAATCCTGCAGTTCCTCAAGTGTCCACTAGAGGCTGGCTGCAGAAGCACAGGAAGTCACATACACACCCATTCAAAAAGCCTGTTTTTACAGCAGAGATTAACATGTTTACAGCCTGGTTAAATACATCTGATTAGCTCATGTCTTGATCAGCACACACTGTATAAGGATAAGAGTTATTAACAATAAGGCGTGTAGCTGACCTGATTGACAGGCCGCCGCGGTGAAACGGTTTGTCAAGAGGTTTCAAGCCTGCCTCAGCTCCAGCTCTCAGCCTGTCGTTGACTGAAAGTCAGGCTGAGACAGCATTTCCAGCATGGAGACCACCATCGATGGGACTCCAGTGCCCCCTGCAGGAACAGATGGGTGACATCACCCAGGATCTGCCCATTATGATTTACAGTCTATGCTTTGATCAAAACAACAACCTACTGCGCAGGTACAGTATCATCCCTCAAAACTCGTCTAACCTAATCAGTATTCCTCAACTCAAAAACTTTCTTCTATTCCTGATTTAAACTATGAAAAGATTAAAGGAGAGAGCATTGAACCCTGAGGAACCCGACTGAAACAGATGTGGTCACATAGTCACCGCAGAAGGTGAGATGTATCTGTTTAACATACAAAATCTCGCCTGTGTTACAAAGATGATCGGGAAAGAGTGTCTTGCATTGCTGGTTCACATGACAGAATATTAAAAAGAAACACAAACGTGTGGAATTAAGCGTCCTTGAAATCAAAGTGAGTGAGAGTTACTGTTTTAATAAAATAAATGTGTGGACATATAATTGGTTTTAAAATGTTGAATGTGGCACTTTTAAAAAGGAAGTAAAACCTGAATCATAACACGATCTGTGTTGATTATCACCATACATCTCTCTGTGTGGAGAGAATCATAGTGAGTTTTCATTGCTGGTTGTTTCTCCCCACACAGGGTTAAAAAGGCTCATTTAGAGCTTCATCAACACCGTGGAAGAACAAGAGCGGTTTCCTTCCTCTTCTTCATGATGATCAACTTTCACTCCATTTCTTCCCACTTATGTTTTCCTCGTTTGAGTTCACTTTTAGCACACTTCACTTGGAAATCTGAGCGGTCAACTCGAAGAGGTTCACTGGAAAAGTTTCACTTCCTACATCGTAGAGAAAACAACACAGAGGTTGTTCTTTAGAAAGACAGGACAAAGCAAACCAAACTAATTTAGGGAATAAAATGAAAAATGAAAGCTAACAGAAATGGAAACTTAAAGTATGGTGGCCTGAAGGGGAACTGCAAAAATATCAAAATATCACTTAAAGAAAAAATAATTAATAGTGTTTTCACAAAGATTTTTTGAGTTTCATTGAAGCGCCAATATGTAACTCTGACACCTAGTGTTTAAAATGGCAGTCTAGATTCTAAACATTAGAGAGCTGCTCCCCCGCCCCTCCTCTCTAGAGTCGACGCTCACGCAGGTTGCCATGTGGTGGACACTGAAGCTTCAGTGTTTAGCCATTGCTGCAACACCTGTTGGTTTGCTGTGACCGGAACACAGTAAACAAAAGGGACCCTTTAGAGTCGGATCAGGACCTTTGGCACCCCAACAGAAGGACGTACTACAAAAAAGTAGGACGTACAGATCCCTTATTAAGTTACCTTTCCCAACTTTTGACCAAAGGGACCCTTTGTTTGTTGTGGAAACGCAAGCAAGATCAGGGTTTACCCTACTGAATTGTACCAAACTGTACTGAACCAGAACGGACCGCTTGGTGGAAACGGAGCTTTATTGTTCACTTAAATTCAGTCTATGATGCAGAAGTTGTCTAAACCTGTATATTCTTTTTTCCTCTCTAATCTTAAGCTTTCTCTTCTCCTGTAGACGGATGTGTGATATCCTGTGTAGCTGCTTTAGCACAGATTTAACCAGCAGCAGTGAGGAAACCGAGAAAGGAAAGTGATGGAAAAATACTGAGTGTGAAACTGAGTGCTGTGTTCATACAATGAGTAAGTGTCTTGTTCTTTTAGAGGTCTTATTAGTGGGAGTAAGCAGGTGTCCTTGGGATGGTGGGAAGCTGGTGCAACTGGGCCCCTCAGAGAAGAGATAACTTCTCTGTTGCTAAGTTGCATGACATACATTAAGTGTTATCTGTATTGTGTTTAACTACTGAGACTTCTCTCAATTCGGGGAGCTCCTCTCCCATAACTCTGTTGTGTGAGATTCTGTCCACTGCTTGAGTGAAGAGACGCTGACTTCAAAAATCTTCATTGGGAGTGTGGAGTTATTTTTTCACCCACAAAAAGTCACTCTAACTTTGACTAAAAAGCTGAACTTCATTTTCAAGCATTTTCTCCAGTTTTGCAATCCTCTGTGGTAACTTCCTTTTCTCTAAAACTGGATTTTTTTTAGCCACCTCAGCTAAACATCACACACATTTCCTCCCCCGGCTGTAATAAAAAACCCTGCTGTATTTATTGTACATACGGTCTGTTGCAATCAGGGGATGGCACTGCTTACGATAATCACGCAGTGCCTCTGTGAGTATAAAGGCTCCTGCATCAGGAAGTGAAGGTGAATCTGCGGGGCATGGACACATCGATGGACGACATGAATGATCGAGTGTCGTTCACTCAGACTAACCCGCTGTTTGACATGTCGCTGAGCAGGAGTGAACTCTACAGCTTCCAGCCTGACGGTGAGTAAAAAGACCGACCACGATCATTCAGAACTGTGAGAGGAAACATGGCAGCAACATTTACAGATTTAAGGTAGACTTCTGTGGAAAAGCTAAAAGTAACAATTCAGACTTACCTGCTTCAACGTTTAGAACCCCAAAGACTTCAAAGACTCATACCTGTGCAGGTGAGCCTTCAGTGAAATTCTTACTCAAGGCGTTATTGTTTGGTCACCCTCTTTGAATGCAACTACTGTAAAAAAAAAAAAAAAATACTGGAATAATCTTCTAGCAGCCCCCCCTATGGACCGGCGGTGCCCCTTCAGCATTTTTCTATCCTGCCTAAGCCACAGGCCGACCCTGATCACAGATCACATTTTATTTGATAAATTGATGCAAACTAAATGAGCCAGAGTTCGAGGTGAGTCAAGGAACATGTTAGAGTGTTTCACAGGTCGAGAAGTCTTTGTTAGAAAACAACTGAAATGTTTTCTCTCTATCATGAGCGTTAAATTAAAGCAACGAATGCAGTAAATTGATTTCCAGCTGCTTTGAGTGAAAATAAAATGTATGTTAATTTTTCACTTCTATTCATCGTTTGTTTACTCGTGTGGGTCCTGGGGGGGTGGTCAGGATGCACCACTGGATTAAAGTAGGCGTTTTGGAGGAGACCTTAATGTAAATCTTTTAATGGGTCGTGTGGGTAATGGAGGTGTGGTGTAAGATCTCAGGGGGACGCTGAGGCTGTAGTGGAGGGGCCCGATGTGAGATCTCTTCATGGGGCCTAGAAATCCTGGAGACGCCCCTGATGTGGAAGTACCAAACAAAGAACAGAGAGACAGGGACAGATGGAGAGGCAGAGTGGTGTGTTGAGAAGTTTCTTGAAGGAGTCCAGAGGTGGGGCATTGAGGATGTCTGATGGGAGGGGGTTCCAGAGGGTGGGGGGCTGTGACCCTGAAGGCCCTGTCTCTGTATGTGCAGAGTCTGGTGTGTGGTATAGACAGCAGGGCAGTGTCAGAGGACCGGAGGTTTGGGAAGTGGGCGGTCGGAGAGGTACTGAGGAGCGAGGAGGGGCGAGGAGGGATTTATAAGAGAGGAGGAGTGTTTTGTTATGAACCAGTGTCTTTTCTTTTCAATCCCAGTCGGAAAGTTCCTCTAAATTTTTCTTCGATGACTTTGACAGACGTTGGGATAATGCAAGCAACCCTTAGCAGAGCAATGACAGTAATTGTTGTCGTATGGGCCCCTGTTAGGGAGGTTTCCTACTGTCATTGCAAAAGGTGCACAACAAAAATCATTGTTTTTTGGGCTGTATATGCTTTTGTTGTAGAGATAGGTCAGTGGATAGAGTCGGAAATCAGGGTGAGAGAGAGAGGGGAATGACATGCAGGAAAGGTTTCAGATTTGAACCTGGTTGGCCGCTTGGAGGACTATAGCCTCAGTACATGGGGCGTGAGCACTAACCACTATACCGGCGCCCCAAAATGCGCACATTTTAAGCCACTGCTACGGTTAAAAGTTTGTGAGCCCTCGGGGGACCCTTACTAACCTGCATGGGGACTCAAGAAGTCGCCTCCCTTGACCAGCAACACCTCTGGCAGATCTTGGTGCAGGTGAGGACTCTGACCTCTGGCAGGTCTTGGTGCAGGTGAGGACTCTGACCTCTGGCAGGTCTTGGTGCAGGTGAGGACTCTTGCAGACAGTTTTGAGCTTGAAAAGAAAAACAACTTAAAGATGAAACCCTTGAACTGGGAGAAAAATTTAATATTTCATCACAGAATCAGAGTCGGTTTCTTCAGCTGCGGGGGTGTCAGTTTCAACACTTCCTCAATCAGGGTTTTTTTTTAGAGCAGAACAAGAAACAAAGACGAGTCTATTATTATCATCAGTCACACGTTTGTTATTCAGCTGTGACAGGTTTGAAATCTTCTCTTAGTGTCACACAGACCGTGATGGGAAGGAGGAGACATTTATGACTTGTAGAGATGAGTTCAGAACAAACGACTTGTCTGACAATCTGAAGAGGAAAAGAGAAAAAAGAAGATAAGAAAGTCTAAGTCTCACAGCATCAGAGAAACAAGCTCTCCATGGAAGTTAGTCTCATTAATTACATGTAATTAATAAGGTGCAAGTCTGTCTCCTTTCCCTCACTATTAACCCCTGAGATTATATGAAAAGTCAGCTATGACCACTAGGTGGCAGTGTTACACCCCTGAATAAGGAGAGAAATAATCAAGAGTGATTCAGTTGTGTTTCCTCATCAAGAGCGTTTAGTGTAATGAATTACACTAAACGCATGTTTACAGAAATATAACTATGTACAAAAGTACACATTTACAACATCTTTCACATTTCAGACTGAATAGAGGTGGAGGTAGGATATACACCTTTTCCTTTTACAAACAATAACAAACAGTATTTTCCTGCAATAAATCTTTTCCTCACACATTTCTTTTAAGCATCAAATATGTCTTAAACTCGTATTGAGCTGTACGCAGCTACGGGTTGTGCTGTGGCTCTGAGCACGGTCTCGTATGCTAGCAAACTTAATGTTCTGAAACTTAACTTTAAACTTACTCAAACATCGAAATTACTTAGTCATGAAACTCTTTACTTGTTACTAAGTTATTTCAGACATGTTAGCTGTGTTTATGACCATAAACATACCTGAATACGGAGAGAAATAATCACGAAAGTGATTCAGTTGTGTTTCCTCATCAAGAGCGTTTAGTGTAATGAGGAAAACACCGCGATTTCTCCTGGTATGTGGGCGGAGACAAAAGCAATTGCTCCCAGATAATCTAACTCAGACAAGTCAGTAGATCACAGATACACATCAACAAATCTTACTTTTAACAATAAAGAATGAACTAAATCATGTCTATTAAATATTTCAGCATCTTTAACCTTTTCTTTTAACATAAAACTGATATTTAAGCATTTTAACTTATTCATACTTTTTAATCACTCTCTATGTAACTTCTTGTGACTATGCAATGTTTTTAACCACAATCAATTATTTAACCCTGTAACAGATCATGAACTCTGTGTTTTATTCTTAACTGTAAGTGCATTCCTTTTTAACATGTCACAGCAGCAGTGTGACAGTAGATTCTCTGAGGGGAACGTGGGCGTCATTAAGGACTATTTTAGCTTCACTAACTACCGATCTGCATGGACAGTGAGAGGCTTAAAGAGGTCAAAAAGCTGAGGTGACATTTGAAGCATGAAGATCAACTTCTCATAAAGGTGATCTTCATACTACAGGTGTCGCTGCAGAGCGTTTTCACCTGTTCAGTTTTAAATAGAAGTACAGAAACATCTCTGCAGAGGTGATATATACAAAACCATTTAAAGAACTACACACTGCTGCAGTGCAACACATGACACACACATGTAAAGTTTGAACACATGCACAGCTAAAGAGAGAATGAATTAGTTTGTCTTAACTGTGGTAGAGAGGATTGCCCAGCAGACCAATAAATCCTGACACAGAGGCTGTAAAGAATATGCACAACTCAACTCAAACATTTAAAATACATCGTATTTAAGTGAAGGGCTAAATGAAACAGATATATTTATGAATATTTTCATCAACAAACATAGCAACAAAAAGCTTGTAAAACACCTATTCTCAAGGTAAACTCATGCACACTGTCCCTAACTTGCAAACCGTTGGCGGGAATTTAACTGTAAGTTTTTGAGTTTTTGACACATTGCTCTCCTATGCACCCGATTTTTTAAATGGATGTGTGAAGGTTTTTTTTTTTTTATCTTAAAAACACCTATTCTATCATTTCTGTGATGAGTTATTTATAAATATATAGATAGCATTTTATCCATGTTTGATCGTTGACACTTTTTGGATCAATGAAATAATTTTATGAAAAAGGAAAACTCCAGTAAATATTATGACCTGTATCAAAACCAGAAGAATTGAAATTTGCATGTATTTTTAAAAAGCCTTTTTCACAACAGACATTTTGAATAGTCCTAATAACACTATTAGGTGTCACTGATCATGTAAATCAGTGGCTCCAATATTAAAGTGTGCCCAAAAGTCAAGACTAGGACCATGAGACTGAAGCAGCTGAAGGGAATGAAGCCAGGGGCGTGTCCAGAGGGACTGACCACCAATCCGATGTCTGACTGAACACTCTAAAACCTTCACAAGGGACGAAGTCGACCTCCATCATCAAGACTTTTATTTGACTTTTCTGCAGACAAATCAACCAAACCGTTACTCGTACAGCCTCAGGATTTCCGTCTGTGATTGATGGCTGACATTTTCCTCTGGTCGTCCAAATGTTTGACGCTCTGAGCTGAAATACCAGCTGATACAAATGCTGTTAGAAAGCGTGACTATCAGCTGATACTTGTTGTCCCCTGAAATGACATTCCCCATGAAGTTTTGCAGATCCCATTTTGAGATGTTTGAAAATGTGTCTCCTGTTTTTGTGTTTTCAGATCTGAAGCCGGCGCGGACCCGGAGACATTGGTGCTTTTACTTCATTATAGTTTACCTCATCCTGCAGACTGGCCTCAATGCATTTCTCATTTATAAAGGTACGACTGCATGCAGATCAAGAGAATTCAGAACTACACTAGATTAACATACTGTACCTCACCGTAAACCATATTTAACATTGGTGTCTTTCTCCCAGTGTTCACTTTGGAGTCTTCGCTTTCTAAGCCTCAGTTGGGAAGCAGACGTCCAATCACATTCCTCAGGACGGAGGTGTGGGCGACAACTTCCAGATTCTGCTTCACAACAACAGCCAAGAAACAAAGAACCTGAGGGCCAACGTGTCGGCCCTGCAGAGCCAGGTCCTCCCGCTCTTTATATCTTACTGTAGTGCAGTTCCTTTTTCGTGAACATCAGATTCCTTTTTTTCCCGAGGGATGTGAAAATCCATGAATCGCATGTCTGTAGGATAAGTATAGATAGGAAAGGGGAACCTGGAATCTGTAAACCTAGGCTCTAGTTTTACATGCTTAGGCGTCTGAATGAAAAATCTGTATTTAAAGATGTAGAAGAAGAATCTGAGACTTCAGTTTGATGACATGGCAGCCTTTGAATCATGTTGTACTTCAAATTTAATTTTCATGCATGTATTCTGGTCAGCGTTGCTTTAACGTCACAGTTTGTGTTTTTCTCGTGGTTGCCATGCCAACAGGTGAACGGCCTCTGTGGGAAGGACGGTCAGCTGCACCAACTCACGTCTAATCTGAACCTGCTCAACACCAGCACACTCAAGCTGGAGGGCAAACTGAGCGACATCAGCCTCAAACCAGGTACGAGAAATATCTTAAAGTCTGGGCCGAGTATTGAGGGTGAAGCCGTCACCTTCTGCAGTCAGTTTTGTTTTTATGCGTTTATCTTCAGGTCCTCCTGGTCCAGCTGGGATACGGGGACTTCCAGGAGAGAAGGGACCCAAAGGTGAGCCAACCTGAAGCAGTTTAAAGTTTGAAGATAAGGCGTCAAGTTTAAGTTGACATTTAAAAAATATAAACGGAAAGTCTTGGTTGTACTTCTCATTATTACAAAGCTGTGTTAAATAGTTGGTTCTGATTGGCTAATTATCCCAAGCAACCGAACCGACTGACATACATTGATAACACACCGTCAAGAAGAAGACCACACCGTTAGTATGAAGAGCAAACGGTTACTAGGGGTGGGGCTTTGATCACAGACGTTGGCGGACTAAGGCCCCGTGTCCACCTTGCGTATTTTCTGGTCAGTAAAGTGCTGGCTGTGAACAAAAGCGCTGCACGTCCGTCTCTATGACAACAGTCTGTTGACAACGGCGGCTGTATGACCAACACTGCTCCGTTACTTTTTACTGCATGTTTAATATTTGAGATCACTTTTTACCTGATCAGACACGGAGCGAGGAGGATGAGGGTACAAGACCCGATTCTTAAGCGGCAAAAATGGTGAATATTGTACATTTGGAAAAGAGCACCAGTGATGTCAACAGCGCCTTTCTGAAAAGTGGCCGCACAAAAAGTACAAGTATGTGTAAAGATTTCCTGGTAGTAAATCATAGTAATGTTGTAATGTCTGTTAGTCTGTACTTACTGTGCTTTTCTTTCTGTTTCTTTAACAATTTTACAGTGTCTTTGAGTATTTGAAAAGCGCTTATAAATAAAATGTATTATTATTATTATTGTTATTAATAATAAAAGAGCTCCCCTCAAACCCCAGGACTTAAAACCAACACCAGGATAAAACTTTGCAGTTAAAGGTTCGTTACGTTAGCATAAAGGTGCATACGTGCAGCAGGAGACATTAGCTTTCAGCTGCAGGTCCGGTGATGATCCCGCCGTTGATGACCTGTCATCTCCTGTCAGACGGCTGATGAGAACCAGCTGATGGATGAGCTGCAGCCATTATTTCCCATCCCAACTTAGTCAATGCTCTGACATTTCCTGTGTGAGATCTTTATCAGGGCGGGACTTTTACTGCGGCCCACAAATCACCTGAAGGCTGAGGCAGATGTTTTCAAATAGATCAACCCCCCCACCCCCCCCCGAACCCCTCCCTCAAAGTGTGTGATGACAGACAACTCCAGGATATTTAAATTTGACAAACTTACCAAAACTGTGGCTGTGGTTACTGCGTCTGTGAGGACGTCAACACGGCTCCTGTTTGTACGCTTTATTCACTCGGCCTTTTCAGACTGCTTTTTTTTTTTTTTTTAGCAAAATTGCTGTAACTAAGCCCCGCCTTCATCACGTCTTTCTACATTTATATTGATTCTGCTACGCCGTGACATCGGTGTCCCAGTCTGTGAGGTCACATTGCCTTGCAGAAGCACGTCACAGCAGGAGCTCCACATACACATACAGTCACACATACACACACACAGCGCTGAATCAGGCTACAGTAGATAACAAACCTGCTGTTTGCTTTTTTCCAGGTGACAGTGGTGTTATTGGACCCAAAGGGGGCGAAGGACCCAAAGGAGAGAAAGGAGATGTTGGTAGGTTTCATAACAACAAAATAATGAGGAAAAAGAAAAGTCAAAGGCGTGTGCATCTCTCCTTTGTGAGGTCAAAACCTACAATCCCAATCAAAGCACAAGTTATTTCCCTGCTTTGCCAGCTTCATGCTTCAAATCAAAAACAGTTTGTTTTTTGTTTGTGGCAGAGGCCGAGGAAACAAGATAGCGGCTTGAGCTGAAAGCTCTGTTTCACATGAGGTGGGCACTGATCACAAATGTGACTTCAATAACCGTAAATCTGTTAACAAAGATTTTTACTTCCATAGCAGTAAAGCAACTGAAGTTAACCTTAACAGTAACCGGTGTTATGGTTTAAAGAGCGACCGACTTTCAGCCAGAGAGAGAGAAAGAGGACTGGTAGGAAAGAAAAGTAAAGAAGAACAAGATGTAAAGGAAAAAGGAAAAAGGAAAAACCAAAGACCAAAGACCAAAAGTAGAACTCGAGCAGCGAACACAAATGGGAGCAGATTCTCATGAGAGTAATTTTCCTCCTTCACTCGTAGAGATAATGTAAACCGCTAAGATCGCAGCGTTGTGAGAAACTGAACCGTCGTGGAAAACGACTCTGCACACACAGTATCAACAAAGAGAGAAAACACTGAACCAATAATTCAAATGCAGCACCTCAATGTAGAAGAACACAGGATCTCCACATCAGAAGATACTTTACAGGCGACGGTGTCTACATCGAGCTGAAAAATTATTTTTGTTTTTCAGGCCCACCTGGACCCGCTGGACCTCCTGGATCATCCGGTGAGTACCCACTGATCCATCTGTTTCATGGTATCTGTTATCATCTGTTAAAGTACCCCGGCCTCGCTGTGTGTTTGTGGAGACAGCCAGTCACAAAAACTGTATCGTCAGATGTCCAATTGTTTATTCTTTTACGTTCATGAGGGAATTTCAAACTTCTAAGAGGCCATCTGTCCCAAACACAAACACGTAAACTTAGCGAGTGAGTAAAGAGGGAGGTCCTTCATCAGGATTTATTAAATTGTTTCAACTTGGTGAAGGTTGTTACCGTTTCTATTGCTCCTAAGTGGCAACTGCCGGTGTTGAATAATGAAGTGCAAATTTCTGCAGTTTTATCGAGTCTACAGAGGCTATTGTTCTACAAGCAGACGGCCATGGGTTCAAATCCGACCTGTGGTCTCTTCCCTGCATGTCATTCCCCACCCTCTCTCTCACCCTGGTTTCACTGTCCTGTCTCTAATTAATTACAAAAAAGGCCCAAAAATAAACCTTAAAACAATATTTGACTCACCTCAAGCGTGACTTTGGACGAATGGATTGAAACTTGGCACAGCCTTTACATTCCTCTCGTTCTGCAAGAATGAGAATAATAATATGCATCACAGAGTATCGAAGAAACACTGACAATTATTAAAATATAACGGAAGTGTCAGACACTAAAGAAACACATTAATTAAACACAAAATTAATCTGATAAAATAGATGTTAGTGAAGTGAGAAAAAACATTTAATCATGTGCACGAAGTGACCATGCAGCCAAATGCGGGGGTGGGGGGGCTGGAGATGATCCCGGCTGTCATTGGGTGAAAGGTGGGGTACACACTGGACTGCCTGAATATATATTAAATAAAACAGGATTCTCTTTAGGTGAAGTTATTTTCTACTGGAATCATGTCTGTCACTGTGTGTGCAGCACCCATTATGAATCACACGCTGACCTCCCTGGTTTCACATCATGTTACAGGTTTAGGGAAAACTCCAAATAATGTGTTTGAAATCTTAAATAAAATCATGTATCAGCAGATTTAAAGAAATAGCTCAGTTTCTCTTCCTTTTTTAACTTCCGGTCATATTGCTGACACATGACTATATCATGTGACGAGTTAAATAATTTCACAAGCATGCTCTGAAAAGACATGAAGACATGTCGGGGTTATTAGGGTAGCATTCAGCTATAACTATACTTACCTCTCTGACTGAGAGTAAAGGTGAAACAGTCCTGAAAAATAGGGAGACATAATTTCAAATGTGACACAGTGATGTTTCCTCAGCAGCACTGTGCAAGCGGACTCCTGTTAACACTTTAATATAATTAGAGCAGTGAGTGTGGCGAGCGGACGTGCAGACATCAATGCGCACTCATCGAACATTGAAACTGTTTTGACAGCAACATTGTGTTAACAAAGACTACAGTCTGCAGTGTAGAGCACACTTTACTCTGGTAAATGAAGTTACAATAGAACAGGTGAACGATTTAAGTGTTTGTTTCATCTTTCTCCTCTGTGCATAATGACACACTCACTCAGTCTCGCTCGTCCGTCCACTATTTCTCCCTATAAGGTTGTTCCGTTTTGTAGTTATTAAAAGAATAATCATGTAAAATTCCAAAATATAGGAAAACATCTAGTTATGCTGCTCTGTCCTGGATGATCAAACGTCATTGGTTTGGCGGGGTAAAGCGGTAATCGCATAGTGAAAGTCCTTCTTTTTCTGTGGACTAAAAAGACAATTCGAACTGAACTTTCGTAGATCATATTGCATATTTCGTTTGTTTGGGACTTTTTGTTCATTGTGTATTCATATAGGGATTAATTGAAGGGATATTTTTGTTAGGGTAGCAGCGTATGGATCAACAACGGATGCGTTTCAGCACAGAGCCTTTATCAACGCTTTGTTTGTCATCTATTTTCTTTTTGCGCTCGTGCACCTGAAGTTTTATTTCTGTTTGAGTGTGCTCCTTTTCTGTTTTGAATTAGGCCTATCCTAGAACCCACAATACGACAAGAAACATTTACAAAAATGTGGACTGCAAAACGATTATTGATTACTTTTTTACTATTACTATTTGTTGTAACCGATTATTATCTAATAAACTCGTTTGCACCTCTAGTCTGTACTTTGTCGAAAAAGTCCACATGAAGAAAACCGATGGTACTAAAGAAGCTTCACAGAAACTACTAATTTTGGACACCCAAAACGGATTTTAACACCATAACTACAAAATGGCATCATAACTTATTCCACTTGTTTTGCCTCTTGGTATCTAAGGAAGCCAAGGACCAGGTGCAAAGGGAGAAAAAGGAGACTCCGGGGTCCAAGGTAAAGGTCTCGACAATGATCAAGAGTTCTAAGCACTTCCTGGAAAATTATTGTTCACTTCTAACATAATTTGTCGTTTGTATTCCAGGCCTGAAAGGTGACGTGGGGGAAATTGGTCATTCAGGTACCTTAGAAATGTTCTGACTTGCTGTTTGTTAAACATATTCACACAGCACACTTTCTAACATCTTTATATTCAGATTCAGAAACATAAACACAAATTTATGAGCAACTAAAACAACATTTGAAGGTGAATATCTGGAGTTTTTTGCCAGATATGAGAGCAGTTATCAGGTCAAACCAACAGGTGTTGCAGCGATGGAAGCGGGCAAGAGAACTGGTTCAGATAGAAGTGATTGTACCCGACCTAAAAAGCCTCTGCATGTTTCTAATAAGCTCCACGAGCAGAAACGTGCTCAAACTAGGATCAATATTGGAGATGCTTTTGAAAAATGGAGAGAGGTTAGAACACAGAAAGGTTTACAGACCGATGCAGAGCTGGCTAAACACTGAAGCTTCAGAGTCCAGTTCAGATAAAGTAAAATAACTTACCACCTGGAAATGTCGATCATAGAGTCTATTGGGCGCCCCTCTAACCAGCGTTCGTAAACATTATGTCCGCTGTTGTCCCAGTGTTTTTACACCCAGAAAAGTCCTCTTCATTTTCCTTTGGTGTCTTTCATTGACAAACTTTGGTTTTCACAGCAATAATGCATGCAACACTTTACTGGGCAATGAGAGTGAGTGCTGTCAGATGGGGCCCCCTTAGGGAGGTTTCCTACTGTTGTTGCAAAATTTTGCACATTGATCCACTGCTGTGGTTTAAAGTATCTCGTAGCTCAATATGCTGGTGTGAGCAGTGTCACATTGTGTACTGTAATGTCTGTATTCGATATATTAATTTGAATTTTGTTCATTTGTTTGTGCACTTCCAGGAATACCCGGGATTCCTGGGCTCAAGGGAGAAAAGGGAGACACAGGAAATGATGGTCAACAAGGACTTCCAGGTCAGCTTCATCTTTATGGTTTGATTCTCGTATCCCGATAAAACCTGTTCCTTACATCATCTTTTCTTTTTCTCATTAGGTTTAATTGGACCTCCTGGTTTCAATGGAACTGACGGTGAGTGTACATAGAGTTTTTAAAGCTTTCGTTTGATCTCTGCATGTGACCTGAGTTTAAACAGATGTTTTTGCATAAATAAATGAAGTCTTAACATGTTAAAGAGACTTGGTTTAATGATTGCACGACGCCAGGCTCCAGATGAGCTCCCAGAGGGATGGGACCAGTTTTTGGCTGCGTCTCTGTCCATGATTTTTTCCCTGAGGTTTATCAGCCTCATGTTTAATTTGAATTGGATTAATGGAACCTGTATGTGCAGATAAAAGGCGAAGCTGGTGATATTATTGATCTAACAAGTAAATAGATGGCTCAACATAACTTAAAGTGGAAGAGGAGAATGGCTTCACAAAGAAGGCACATACAGAAATAGATCCCCAGTTCACCCCTAGGTGGCTTGTTTGAAATATTTTAGATTTGTTGTAAACAGGTCACTACACCAATGAGTTAAGTTGTATGTATAACGGTATGATTTGAATTTGTTAACTGCCTGTTTAGTCTAAAGCTGTCTTTGACCGTGTTCCCTCCACAGGTTCTCCTGGACCAGCAGGCCCTAAAGGAGACATAGAGTGTAAGTCTGCAGAGGACTGACCGCACAGAAACACAACGAGAGAGTTATGATGACCCAAAACTCAAAGGTCACTTTAAGTGCAAACACCTGAAGGGATGGTAACGTGTCTTAAAGGATCAATCAGTAAGATGTGAGAGTGAAATGATAAAGGTACCTTACTATATGATCAGACATTAAGGAAACATGCTATGTTGAAGTGCTGGCTTATCTGACAACAATGCAGCAGCCAGTATGTCCTCCTTCTAACTTTAGATTCTGCTCCTGAATGCTCTGGATTTGTTTGGACCAGAGAAGGTAGGCGGTTTTAAGGCACCCACACACGGCCGTTTTGGACGCCCCTCAGTTTGCCAGATATGAGAGCAGTTATCAGGTCAAACCAACAGGTGTTGTAGTGATGGAAGCCGGCAAGAGAACTGGTTCAGATAGAAATGATTGTACCCGACCTAAAAAGCCTCTGCATGTTTCTAATAAGCTCCACGAGCAGAAACGTGCTCAAACTAGGATCAATATTGGAAATGCTTTGGAAAAATGGAGAGAGGTTAGAACACAGAAAGGTTTACAGGAGGGGCAGGGGGAGACAGCATCTCTACAATGTTTAGAATTTGGACTGCAGTACCCATTTTAACACTAGGGGTCAGAGTTACATATTGCTCCTTTAAGGTTGTGATATTCTATTCTGATCAATGGCAGTTTTCCCACACATTTAAACAGAGTTCTGATTTGAAAGCCAAACTTTTTAAGCGTCTCAGAGTTAAACTAAAAGCCGACTTTAAACAGCAGAATCTTTGTGTCACCACAGTGAATGTGCGTCTCGTGCCGGGGCCGAACCGGGGCCGCTTGGAGGTGAAGTACAAAGGCGTATGGGGCACGGTATGTGACGACAACTTCGACCCCACAGATGGAAAGGTGGTCTGTAAGATGCTGGGCTTCAAAAGTATTACTTCGACTTTCACTGCCAGCCCAGGTAACTATGCCCTCACTGAAGAAAATGCATTTGACGTGTGTTTTGATTTCATAGTTTGCACTGTGTCTACTCTGTTAACAAAGAGGAGGCAGAGCTCATGACCTAACATGTAGCCTTCCAAATGTTTTAAACTCTCTCATGTCTCACATCTTTGTATCGATGAATCTAGCGGCTGAGTTGTGCGTTTCACTGCTATCACAGGAACTACGGTTGCGAATTTTTACCAATATTGAGATATATACGTTTTTGCAATGTACACATTGCTCAGTCGGTAGAGTTGGTTGTCTCTCAACCTGAAGGTCAGGGGTTCGATCCCCAGCTCCTGCAGCCAAAAGTCCTTGGACAAGACGCTTAACCCCAAGTTGCTGCTTCTGCTGCTTCACTGAATGTGTATGAATGGCAGAGGTGTGGAGTCGAGTCACAGATTTGATGACTTTGGACTCGACTTGACAAAATCATGAAAGACACCTCGACTTGGACTTTAACACCAATGACTTGAAAACACTTGAGGTTCTAATGTGTTATTTTAGGGCCCTATAATTTCTTTGACGCGCAAAACACGGACGGAATCACAGAGTTTCTCAATGAAAATATGATAAACTTACTCTGTTAAAATGGCTTTTCATTTGGTGAACAGAGCTAATGACTTGATAAGGACTCAAAATTCAAAGGTCAGGACTTTTGACTCACCCCAAGACTAGCCTGTCACTACTTGGGACTTGACTCTGGACTTGAGACCAAAGACTTGAGACTTACTTGTGACTTGCAAAACAATGACTTTGTCAATGAATGAGTAAATACTGATGGTTACTCAGCAGACTCTACCATCAGGGTGTCAATGTGATGGTGTGGCCTGCGGTGTCAAAGAGCTTTGAGTAGTCAGAAGACTAGAAAAGAACTAAACAAGCTCAAGTCTATTCTATCATTTACATGGCAGAGTAAATGAAACAATGCTTTCTCACTCAGCATGTGTACATATTACCAAGGCTAACTCGGACTAATTGGGGCTAATTTAGAGGATTTAAAACATTGAATTGATTTATTTTGGATTCAGTTGCCAACACAGATATTCTTTGGAACATGAAGAACCGTTAGACACAGATAACTGTGAATTATAGCTTATATACACTCTTTAAATTTGTGTATTTATCACAATTCGTATCCTTATTATCGCCATACTGAATCATGTTATCGCACATCACATATTTGATCTCGTATCATGCAGACCCTACAACCAATCAGAGTCGAGTATTCTGTCCGGCCACGGTACAAGCTTTGTTATTGCAAACCTTAAAACTCACGGTTAACGTGTCTTACTCCTGCCCCCTCTGCAGGCTCGGGGGAGATCTGGCTGGATGACCTGCACTGTACGGGGACAGAAACAGATATCTTTAACTGTCCTCACCAGCCAATCGGCATCAACAACTGCCAGCACAACGAGGACGTCGGAGTGGGCTGTGTTTAAGCTGAAACCAAGAAAAAGAAAGTGATGTTTTATTGTGATCATTTTGATAACATGCAGTGGGAGAAAATGACCGGCAGGAATCAAAAATAGATCTCACATTTACTCGACTGACTGCAGGGAGGAGAACAGTACTGATGCTAATTATACCCACAGCTGGATCTCATTTCATATTCATAAAACATAGAATATAAAATTATTTTTTATCGCTAAACACATTAGCTTTAATGACAGCGTACTGTAAACAGAATCATGCTGATTTCACTTTCTGCTATCAAACTCTGCAGCATCATTTCTCTGCTCTGCACTCAGCTGTTTGTTATATTCCACAAATGAGACACGAGCTGCAACCGTCTGCCTCTTTAGCTCAAATCATCATCTGTCGCTCCATCCTCATCAATCCTTCTCCTCCCCCCCTCGGCCCCTCTCCCCCTCAGCGACACACCACATCACCTCCCGTCCACCCAACATCACGATACACCACTCTGCATCGGTCAGCAGAGATGAGGAGGTCACATTGAAGGACTGGAAATGTTTCTGACACAGCTGGCATGTCACGTTTTTCCTGACGCCTCGGGAAGAAAAACTGTAGATCAGAGGAGGAGGAGGAGGAAGAAGAGAGGGAGGAGGAAGAAGAGGAGGGAGAGGAGGAGGAGGAAGAGGGAGGAAGAGGAGGAGGAGGAGTGTCTTTATTTTTTTACACAAACTGATCATGTGACTTTATATGCAAATTAACCCGGCGCCACACCCACCTTGATTTAAAGTTTAACATGTCCAGGTATAAAATCTCTTTCAGCCCATTGAGTTCTGGTTCCGTGTCGTTATTGTTTCTGTATTTGTGAATGATGATTTGAATCCGGTATTTGTGTGAAATCTGGATTTCTCCGGAGTCACTGCGATTTCATTCGTCCGCCACAGGAGGCGGTTTGGATCAGAGATGAATATTAAAAAAGTTCAATAAAAAATGAAAAGCAGGTTTTTAATCATGAGACGCTGAGCTGACTGATGAGCGAGGACAAATTGGAACGCGGACTGAGACATTTAATTTCAGGACGAGGCCGCTGTAAATGAATCCGAGCCGAGTGTCACCGAGGCGTCATTACAGAACGATAGAAACGCTCGCTCTTCGGCCAGGCGAGGAAGGACTTGATTCACAGCCGATCCGTCTGCCCGTTCTTCCCTTTGGGGGACGTCGGCCGCCATCATCATCATCACTCCCTGTTTGAGACACACCTCGTCGTCTGTGTCGCCATATGCAGAAAAGGAGGCGAGAGGTATTAAAACTACAAAGTGCTGATTAGAATTCAGCAGCCTCGCCCCCCCCTCCTGGGCGTCTGCTCAGGGTGAGAGCTGGAAATAAACATGAGGGGGGTCTTTCTCTCTGTCGTTCATTAGCCAGAACAACCCCGGGTCAGCCGAGCTCGCCCCCTGGCCCCCGGACCACCGCTTGCATTTGAGGGCTGACGTGGATAAATAAATGATGGGAGAGAAGGGGGAGGAGGGAGGGGGTGGTGACAGGAGGGGTAATGGGTAATGAGGGTGCCCCCGCTGTCCTCCTCACCTGTGTGAACCTCGTCAGTACTGCTGCAGACTCTCTGAGCAGCAGAGACGTTTAAGAGGATATTCATGAGCCATTACGGCACATTACTGAGTCATCTGAGTCACACACACTCTGACTCTCTCTCTGTCTGTGACACCGAGCCGCCTGTACCCTGAGAGAAGTTTCAACGTGTGCAGGAATGATGGACGGGAGGCTGATTTTAATTTGCATAAACTGATGGCATCAATGCAGTACGAGAAATAAGAAATAGATGATTCTGTCCGTGCAACGGGGGATGTTTAAAAACTGAGTTTATCAAATGTCTCATCCACATGTGCCGAAATCTTAATTAATGCAGCTGTGTCTTGAAGGCTTGCAAAGACACTGACATGCAATCTTCCCTGAGCAGCTGCGGTCCAGCGCTCTGTAGGCTCAGCTTCAGGCCACACTAACTGTTATCTTTAGGTGTTTCACAATCTGCTAATTCTGTCCCCCCACCCACAGCTCCCCACAGCCCCACACTCCAGGAGCCGCTCAGGGTAAAAGAGGAGGTTTAAAGAGCATGCAACCACTGACTGCCCCATGTGGAAGTTTATTATCAGACTGAAAAAAGTCACAATAAGCATAACTAACGTATAACTTTTAAGACGTTTACTGCAGAAGACAACATGTACACGTGAGGTGAAATACCAGGTTCTGTCGGTCAAGAAAAGGCTCTGTGGTCCCCTAATCTGACACAGTGACCATCGTACCAGACGTCTGACCTCGGCATTAGTCATTCAGATCCAAAATAAGAGGGTCATTTGCTGAGTTCACTAATTCATTTAAGGTGTTTATTTATAAGTGAGTCATGTTCTTCTGTCTCCATCACACTGTGCTTTGTGACTTTGTTTCTCTCTAGTCAGTCTGAATCAGTGTCAGTCACAGCTGAAGGAGAGTGTTCACTGCTGCGGCTCTCAGTAACCTCTGCTGACAGCTCCTGGCTTTGTTCATTCACTGATGTTTTTTTTTTTTTTTTTTCTGTCCTGACACGGCCTCATCATCGTTTGGTTTTAACATGCTAGGTTTTTACCCCACAGCTCGTTTTTAAAATCGCTGTTTTCAGCCTGTTTCATGCGTGCTGTACCTTTTTGTTGTGTTTGTTTATTCCGTCTCTGTGAAGCTGCTTCTTAACCTTTCTGTAATCTAGCGTTCCACTTTTAGTTTCCTGCGGCTGAAGGCAAGCTCCATTCATCCACTGACAGGATTCATGGCTGCTCATTCATACCTGTGAAGAAAAGAAGAGCATTTCTCTCACCTTCCAGTACAACAGGCTGTCAGAGCTCCGAGGGAGGAGGCAGCAGCTCAGCGGTGCGTCCCTGACAAAGCGGCGTCCGTGGAAGCGAGGCCAGCTGGACGGTCCTGCAGCGCTGCAGCGTCGCCTGGAAGACAAGTCATCGATCATCCTGCGGCTCCAGCTGAGGGGCCTGTTGGTGGAGGACAGAGTGAGGCCTGTGCATGGAGACAGGCTTAGCCACAAAACCCATCAAGAGCTGACATTCCTGCACGCCAAAGGACGAGATGGTGAGTGTCAAGGGTAGCCATTTTCCTTTGTTGGTCACTGCAGAGATGAAAAACTGAATGGAGTCAATTTCTCCTTGATTTTTAAAAAGGTATAAAAATAAGTGACTGTTTGTATCGGTGCAAATAAGAACACCTTGAAGTCAATGTTAGCGTTGAATGTTAGCGTTGAATATTTATAAAAGGCAACGTTTGGCATCCAATTACGTCTGATCCAGGAAATTAACTTTCACCAAGGAGCAACGTCAGGACTGAAAACTGAGAGCTGCAATTCCTGAATGATTCAGGAACAGCGACATTCAGTGGTGTGTCAGGACGAGTGGTTCCTAAAGTCTCTGACACACCAAGGAGATCGACGGCCGTCGGTCCTAGTTGGACCGTCGGTGAGCGGTCGTCGCTCTAGCTTAGCGGTGTGTCCGGCTCTGTCCCTATACCGTCAGCCCCCGTCTGTCTTTTTTCTGCCAATTCGACACGTTGAACCGGCGTCGGTGGTCGGGGAGAGGAATCTCTCTGATTGGCTGTTGGGAGGTTTCTCGACACAGGTTCTGGAAAGGCCCTTGAGCATGCCGCTGTAGTATCCATGCAGCAGTCCTTCTGAAATCATCCGGCATTAGTGCGGTTTCTCCTTATTTGTCGCCTATGTAATAGATATAAGATTGTGCACTAAGTTAAATTAATAATACATGTTAAAACTAGTGTCTTTCTAAAATGTTGTATATCCTTAAAAAATGCTAAAAAGCTAGTTATAATTTAATGTTAATTCATGCTGCTAAGTTTAAGTTTAAAAGCATATCTATAATTGATTGGTTTGGTCTTAAGCTTTTGTTATTGTTTTACACTTCCGGTTTTACGCCAGCAGGGGGAGCGTGTTGTCTGAGCGTCATTCATTACACCATTGAATGAAAGCCAGCAACAACGTGTTTGTTTGTTTCTTCTTTATTTCTCTCCTTACAGGTAAGAATACTGGTTAAAAGTGAATAAAACCAAGTATAAATGTGTTGTAAGTTTCCGGGAACAAGTTAGTGATATGTTTTCTGTATACAAAGTAATTTCAGTATGTTTATGAAGCAGTTTAAGCACGAATGTGTTTGCCGTGACGCGTGCATGCTAGCTTGAATCACACACACAGAGCGCAATAGAGACACGTGTAGTGCGTCTACTGAGAGTGTGTTATTTAAGTTGTATCGGTCAGTTGAACAATTACAGTTACATGGTACAGTTTAAAGAAATATCACTCTGCAAGTGTGTATGTGTATAACTACTAAAGCAACTAAGAAAGAGTTAAATGTGTTTACATAAAACGAGCAGTAGATTATACAATATTGAGAAATACTAGCCTGTTATATGACAGATGTAAAGGTATTAAACAGTGCATGTATGTTCATCTAAGTGTATAATATTGTACAATGATAATATGATGTGTCATTGCATATTATTCATTATACCATTGAATGAAAGCCAGCAACAACGTGTGTTTGTTTGTTTCTTCTTTATTTCTCCCCTTACAGTACGCTGTACAGGGGTGTAACACCTACGCCTCTTCTTTTCTTTTTCCACTAAAAGACCAAGGGCTGACAACGCCAGCACAATTTTAAACTTTATATCAGACATTATTCTCCATTAGTAGGCTACCTATAATACAAGTGGTGACCGACAGCGGTGTGAAAATGGTCTTCTCGTATCATAACAACGGACTACCGCCGCCTGCTGGCATGGGGAGTTATTTCCTGAGAGTGGGGGTTGGCCTTCGGCTGTAGTCTTTGCGATGTGTTCAAGTGCAACTTTTTGGCCAAGACGTGAGGCGACACCACAGGCGGCATTTGTCGCCACTACTTCTTTGCCGTCTGCTCGGTGTGTCAGGGCCTTAAGGGTAAACAGGGATTGTCTCATACTGCTGAAAGCTTCTCCAAGAAATCCCAGAGTCACAATGTCAGGGGGACACATGGAAGTCTGCATGTGGGCGCGTATCAGTCAAACAACGATACAGATGAGAGGACATTGATCTAGTGAGACAGGAGCAGGTGTGAGATTGCTCAGTGTGGAGCTCGAACAGGTGAAATAATCACTCTAAACAGAAACACTTCCTGTAAAGACTCACTGACACCACATGCTGAGGATAACAGCTGGTGGTCCATATGAAGGTGTGAGAGACTTGGAGGTGTAAGAAAGAGGAGGGAACAGTGATCGAGAGCTGAGAGGTGTCGGATGAAGAAACAGCTGAGAGGAAGTGAGAAGAAGAGAAAGGAATTCAGAGAAGAAGAGTGCAGGTATGCACAGAGATCAGTCATTGAATAACAGCTCTGGGGTCAGAAATAATCAGCTGAGTGCAGAGACAGAATCAAGATAAAAAATATGACAACAAAATCTAAAGGCCAGTTATTCAATTAATTTAATCTTGAGTTCTTAGTCACAGACTGTTGGTGCTTTCAAACCTCCCCTAAACTCCTGAAAAATATCCTGAAGTTTTCAGGCTGAGCTGCATGTGTGACCCCAAACAGACGAATCTGCAACTCTGGAAAATATCTAGATCATTTCAAGAGGACTGCTCCTCCAGAATGATCACCCAACATCGACTTGTCCCAAGGCGTCGGGACAGCGCAACCTACAAGGCACGCTGCCCAACAGACCAACTTTGACCAAAGACCCCTCGACCTGATGCAAACACACAGATACATTTTCAATATACAGAGCTTCAGTGTTATAC